GCTTCGTTTGAGCTCGTCCGAACTCGGAATTGAGTTCCGTTTTTTCCTACGCGTAGCTAACGAACCCCTCTATCTAATGATGTAAGCTTCCCCAAAAATTTCCCAGAAATCTGTTCTCCCGAAGCTCCCGACCTACACACCAAAAACGAAAACACAAACGGAAGACTACCGGAAAAAACATAAAAATTACCGGGGCACTCAAGACAACACAAAACACACAATAAACGACAAAATGAACCTAAAACCAACTAAATGACTCAAAATAGGGGAAAAAGAATGAGAAAATAATAACGAAAAATGCAACAAAAATGGGACAAACATATATCTAGCTTTCAATCCTTACCGATTCGGAGCCTCTAGTTGTTTGACAATACCAACGGCCATCACTGCGTATGCCCGCCGATATTGGGGGCCTCTCTGTTATCACCCAAACTCGGTAAATTGTAATTAAGGGCCCAAAACAACACCATACACAAATTCTACTCGGATACCGATGTAACTTAGAGTCATCCCGGTTCACACCATAAACCGGTGCAACCCTAAAAGACCGAGTGACCCTCTCCCGTCGAAGTCGTTCTACACCGAGGTCAACACGTACCGAGGTCAACACGTACCGAGGTCGCCACCTCCTAAAGCAGGTGACGAGGCGCCTACACTCCCCCGTCACAAACTATGAGATTTGCCATCATTCACGTAGGGCCCACTGATCCAACCGCCCTTCGGAAGTAGCTTTTTGTATCAAAACAATGCACGGATCCCGATGTATGAATAAAAAAGTTACTATAAATAGGTAGCCAGTGACATCTGTAAGGGGATTCGATTCGGAACCCAATTTTCAATAATGCAACGCGCAACAGCCCACAGAGGCTTTTCACCTCGGTTCACTTCGGACCGGGGGCATTGTTGAGTCTTTTTCTCATATTTTATGCTCAAACCATCCATAATTAATACGAAAACTCAATGTTAATTTGTTGTTAAGAATCATACGACAACAGGTATGTTGCTGCCCTTTTGAAAGGATTAAGAAGCACCAAAGTAATGTCTAAACCCAATGATTTCAAATTCTGAATTCAAATTCAGAATAAAGGATCTAAGAACAAGTAAACACCATAGAAATCGCATTGGAATAACTAGAAAAAGCACTTTCTAGTTCACTCAGACTTTCTAGTTCACTCAAACTTTGTAGTTCATTCAGAAAAGAATAATCGTTCTCAATATCAAAAAGGTTTTCTGCTTCTTTTGGGACCCTCCAGATACGTGCTTTATCTTCAAATACAGTATCGGGAATTAATGCTTGCGGAACCTCAATCACAATCGAAACCAAAATGATAATCCCCTATTCTCTAGCATAAGGATTTAGCTATGCATAATCGAACAATCAACAAAAATAATTATTGCATCACAAGAATTCATAATAAAAGATTAAGATAAAAGAAATCTTACGATTGATAATTCTCAAAGTTAAATTCGATAAACACGAATGAATCTGAAAGCAATAGAAAAAATCCGATGATTAATCCTTGTTCTACGATCGACAAGATGGAAGAAAGTGTAAAAAAATGAGAACCAAGAGAAGAGATAGGGTTTGCGATTTTATGTCCTAAAAAAGAATGAATAAAAATCGATCCCCAATCATGAATTTATACTAACAGTTCATCGGGCGTACAAAAAGTCTCGGCACGGCATGGCAGGAAATTCACCGCGGCGCTGCAACACGGCGCGGGAGGGTGGCGCATCACGACGCGGAGAACTCAACGACGCAGCAAGGCAGAAAGCTTGGAGTCTCTGTCGACCTCGTGGCGGATGCGCGGCGTGACAGGCTTCTTCTTCACGGTGGGGGGCGGCGTCGCGGCGCGGCAAGGAGTGGCAACACGGCGTGGCAGGCGGTCTTCTCGCGGTGGAGATTCAGGTGGCGCGGCGCGGTAAAGCTCGCGGCGCGGCAGAGCGGAAGGCACCTTCTGTCCGTCTTGTGGCGAGGTCGCGGCGCGGTAGGGAGAAAGGATGGCAGGTGTCGCGGCGCGGGGCTGGAGAGGTGGCTTTCACGGCGTGAAGCCCAAGCACGGCGCGACAGAGAGAACTTGGTCGCAATGCTGCAATATGAAGCTTGCTCGTGTGGAGGTTCGAAAACTCAGGAAGAGAACTTGCAGCGGAGGTGGAGGAGAGGAGCTGGAGTACGTTGGCTCGCGCATGGCGTTGCGATCACAGGCGGTGAACGGACGCCGGTGAAGCTTCTCTTTGCATTGCTTCATGTCCCGGGCTTGGTTGCGTTGTTTGGAAACGGAATTTGGTCCCGCTTTCTCTGGTGTAACGGTAACGAACCCTTCTATAAAATGGTGCTTACCAAAATAATTTCCTCCCCCATATCAAAACGATCACCTGCTCAACACTCAAGACGACAAGAACGAAGAAAACCGAAATAACCGAAAAAACACAGAAAGACCGAGATAAAGAAAAACATGAAATAAAGCATAAAATAAATGAAAACTCATCTAAACGACTGAAAATGGGGGAAAAAAGACAAAAAGACAACGAAAAACACAACCAAAATGGGACAAACAAAGGCTGTGTGGGCTGGTAGTTGGCAGGTAATTAATATGTAATGGTAGATGGTATTAGGTGGTAGGTATATTTAATTTGGTGTGGGGTTCACCTGTTTGAAGGTAGTGTAGGAAATTATTACAATGCCCTTAAATGAATGTATAATTTCAGCGTTTAGTTTAGTCATGAGGTCATTCGATCAAATGACTACGATTTATTATCATTCTTTCGTCAAGAACTATTCTCATATATTGGTACATATAATTAAAATATTAGTACTCTATATATGTTCACATTAATTAAATCCAAGCCTTACAATTCCTAAACTACCAATCCCATTTATCAAATGGCCTAATTGCTAATAAAACCATGACCTTTTCGAAAATTGCAATTATATGCACCACTTTTAAAGTTGGCAAAAATATACACCACTTTCATTAATGTTTGCAATTTCATCCTCCGGGCCCAATTTTGGACTTTTATTGTTGGCGTGGATATTTTTTGCTGGCATGGCGCTGAGGTGGCGATAAAAAATAAAACATTGTTGGGATTGGGATTCGAACATGTGTCCTCATGGGTTAAAATGGCCACTATAACCACTAGACCAATACAAGTAGTATGGAGAATTTGATAACATATATACACTATCGTATGAACAATCAAATTAAATATAAAAAATAATGTAAATATATTTCATTATATTAATAAGATATAAAAAATAATGTAAATATATTTCATTATATTAATATGATATAAAAAATAATGTAAATTATATTTCATTATATTAATAAGATATAAAATTATAATAATTGAAACATAATAAAATAAATTTTATATATAAATGAAAAAATAAATTAAAATAAAGTAAGATAATACTATAGTAGAATACATAAAATTAAATTAAATTTTAATATATTTATATATTTCTTATTTATTAAAATAAAACTAGTTAAATAAATTTGGAAATGAAAGATAATAATGATAAAATTATATTAAAAAATAAACTAGATTAAAGTACACAAGTTAAAATAAAGTAAAATAAATATAATATAAGATAATAAAGTATAAAAACTGTAAAGTAAAATAAAAAAATAAAATACTAAATCAAATAACTTATTATAAAATAATAATTAAAATATTAAATTAATATAATAAATAAAAATATTATTTCATTATATTATTTTTAATATAATAAATTAAAATACTTATTATAATACTCTAAACTAATTTATTAAATAATTTTATATTATTTTAATAAATAATTTATTAATACTATATTATAAAATATTATAATGAAATATTTTTTTTTATTTTACTATTTTTATTTAATATTTTTATTTATTATTTCGTAATTAGTTATTTGATTTATTATTTTATTTTACTGTACATTTTTTTTATTTTATAATATTATATTACTTTTATTTTTATTTTATTTTAACTGGTGTACTTTAATCTAATTTATTTTTTAATTTAATTTTATCATTATTATTTTTCATTCTCAAATTTATATAACTAATTTTATTTTAATAAAATAAGAAATATATAAATATATATAAATGTCATTTAACTTTATGCATTCTACTATAATAAAATTTATCTTACTTTATCTTAATTTATTTTTATTTAATATATACAATTTATTTTATTATATTTTATATATTATTATTTTATATATTATTAACATTATTAAATATAATTTACATTATCTTTTAAATTTAATTTGATTATTTGTATGTTATGTCTTTATAAATATAACGCTACTAAGGTAGACATATAGCTTCTATGGTGTAGTGGTTACTACATCAATACGTGAGTTCGAACCCAACAACGATTTATTTTTATCACCAGCCATATCAGCGTCATGTCAGCAGAAATTATCACATCAGCATCTTTATCACCAGCCATATCAGCGTCATGTCAGCAGAAATCATCACATCAGCATCCATGTCAACAGACATTACCAGAAATTATCACATCAGCATCCATGTCAACAGACATTGCCAGAAATTCGCCACATCAGCAATAAAAGCCCGAAATTGAGCCCGGATGATGAAATTGCAAACATTAACGAAAGTGGTGTATATTTTTGTCAACTTTAAAAGTGGTGCATATAATTGCAATTTTCGAAAAGGTCATGGTTTTATAGCAATTAGGCCTTATCAAATTGTATAATACATTTTATTTTTAAAAAAAAAAATAAACTTGATCAATTAAATTTTTGAAAAATTTGAAAAGAAGAAACCAATGGGTGGGTGAAATTGGGAAAATCAAGAAAATGCTGATTGAGGGCACGGTAGAGTGCGAAAATGCGAAGTCTTGAACAAAGGGGGCAATATGTCGAATTGATCTTAATTTATAAAGGGTCTAAAACGCCAACGTACCATTGTCTTGTTCAGAATCAGAACTTGCTCCAAGGCCTAAGCACGACGACTTGAGATCGGTTGAGAAATCCAACAGAACACATGGTACCGAAGCAGTTGATCGTTGCCGTTGAAGGCACGGCCGCGATTGGGCCCTTCTGGCAAACCATCGTCTCCGATTACCTCGACAAGATCATAAGGTACTCTCACACTCGCACCCTTACTACGTGTTCTTGTTATGCGTCTGTTTAAGTGCTTGCCTGAGACGCTAATTGGTTGAATTGGTTGCATTGTTGCCTTGCTTATTGGGTTTTTTTTTTATCCTTTGTTGTTTTTGGTTGGAAAATTGTTATCTTGCTTGTTTGAGTTTTATGTTCTTAAGCAGTTGAAGCTTGTTTTTGCTGTAGCTGTTCGATTGTGTTTAGCTGCATTTTTGTGGAGTTGTTTCGACATATTTTGGTAATTGTTTATCAAATGCTGCTTCAATTTTTATGGCTGATTTTTTTCATTTGTTTTTCTTTTCCAGAAACATGAGGTTTAGTAAATATAGCAGTGCTTCTTCGGAATTGATTTTTTCGTGTCTTGGTGGTTATGATATCTTTTTTTATAGAATAATTGCCAATCATAAAAAAAAAAAGATGGTCTTTTTGTAATCATCCCGATCAGCGAAAATAAACGATATTCTGATATTTGGTTTCTTATGGTTGCAATTGCTGATTGTTATCAAATACAGTTTCCAGAGTGCAGTAGGATGATAAGCTGGAATTGTCTTAGAACCTTAATAATACTTCTCTTTACTATATAGCATTTAACGGAGAAAATTTGGTTAAAGGTCAGACTTTTAATTACTTTATTGTGGAAACAACTTTATATGAGTTATATTAATTGAATTGGACCAAGCTCTGACATTTTTTTTGGTTCTACAAAGTAAACGTAAAGAACACTGTACATGATTTCTCATGAAAAGAACATTTTTGGTAAGTTGTATAATCACTAACATACAAGTCATCTTAAACCTTGCATCCTCTGTAGTATATTTGTTCCAGAGGTTGTAAATCAATTGCTTAATGAGTTCTGTTTTATCTGTTGATGTTGGCCTCTGTAGATGCTTTTGCGGGAATGAGCCAGTGGGTCAGGTACACATTTATGATTATCTTTGCTATATTATGTGTGCTAATGTTTTTATTTTCCTCAGTCATCAAGGGTGAGAGCTCGGTGTTTACAGAAGCTTTTGGTATCCATGTTATTGTATTCAATGTACTGAGTCTCTTACTTCTTTTGTTCAACTTTTATTTTTGATCTTATATTCAGAAGCTCTCAACACCCCAGGTGGAGCTCTCGCTGGTCATGTTCAATGCTCATGGTTCATACAGTGGTGCGTAATTTCTATTCAAAAAAGCTCTTCTACTACCAAATATTTTTCTATGCATAGTTGCATTATGATTGTTAGAAAAAGTTGGATCATCAAATAATTTTTATTTTAAATTTTTCATGATGTAATTGCGGTCGATTTGTTACTTTGAATTGATTTAGCTCATACAATGAGTTTATTTTCTCTTCCATCTATTTTAATGATTTTTTTTTT